GGACCCCTTAAAAAACTGATCCATGGGCTTTGGTATGCCAGGCTGACACTGATTAAACTGTTATATAATTAATGATTAGTCAAAATATGTAAATGTTAATGTTATCAACTATGATACAAATGATAATATGATTATCAGACACAGTTCACACCATATTAACCATCAAGCTGTTTATTATTACGGTAAAGTCTGTACTCTGTAGGTCATGTATAAAAATTAATAAATAACAATGTTTGTCGATTCCCATAATTTATTTAGAATCGGTAATATATTACGACGTAATATCACAGGTATTATTATTTAACTGTGTCATTATTAATTAACCATTTAGATTATACAATTTATGTTACTAAATAATGTGTACCTAACCAATGAACAAAATTAATGTACAATTTTGATTTTATGGTTTTTTTATTATCTAGATTACATTCAGTATATTACAACAGTATATCCTAGTTTTATGTATTATTTATGTTTTCTAGTTTTATGTTAGATTATTTATCTTGAAATATTAACATATGACTGTAATTTAATTTTAATTTAATATTTATGATTATTTTTAAGTATTAATATTTATTGTCAATACATTTAAAGATTAAAAATGCTTATGACTACCTATGATATAAATGTAGAAAAATATTGGTAATGTAATTTAATGTTTAGACTTAGACACTTATAGTACTGACCATTTAGAATATAAATATACGTATGTCACTAACAAATATATTATGTCTAATAAACAAACTTTATGTGCAATAGAATTGTTTTTTCTTTTTTTAATGTCTTTATTAACTTTTATAACTTTTCTACACCTATAGTTAAAATATCTTAGTTGTTTTTTTAATCAAGAAAACAAAAAATAAACTATTAATTAATATCTTGGAAAATATATTAATTTTACAAGTAGCTATGATATTATTTTATAAATTTTAGTATGTTATAATTTGTGAAAAGGTCGAATGTCTTTGTTAAGATTTGGATATTGTAGAAAAGATAATTAATATTTTTATTCATGTTCTGAATGATGATTAAAGACATTATTGTAATAATTGAAATATTGGTGAAAGGTAAATCTTATTTTTTACTTCCATTGTTTAGTTGTTTGTTTGTAAAGAGTGTGATGCCAGTTTTAAATATAGCTATACTCTGTCAAGGCATAGAAAAAATAAGCATCAAATTGCAGTTAAGCCACCTATTTCTGTACCTGAATGTATTGAATCTTTTGAAAAACAAGACTGTTGTTTGAATGTCAAAAAAAAGAACTTGAATCGATATTTTTCATGGATTTACAGAAACTCAGATTTCTAATATGAGTCTTAATCTAAAATCAAATATTTTATTACACCCCAAGGTAAATGTGGTGGTATTCATTTTAATAAGAAAAATAGTAAAATTAAAAATAATTTAAATTTTAGCCTTCAGCAAACTTAAAACCTTCTGAACCTAAAAAAGCAATGGTATATACAAGCAGTAATATTGCATTAATGGTAATATAAAACATCAATAATATTATTATAAAAATAAATATTGTTATAGTATACATACATGCAGTAACTACATCAAATGTATATCCATAAAAACATTTCTGTAGCTCAACTAGTCAACTAAATATCTGTAAAATAGCTATATTTTTACAATAGGAACAAATACCTGATGGTTATAATTATAATATACTAACCAAGAAAAATTTAAGTGATGGGAAATTTATAGCTAAGTTTGAAATTTTGAATTTTGATGTCTCTGATGTTACCAATTGGATGTTAGAAATGAGACGCAAATGTAAAACAACATACCTTAGTACAAATTGTAAAAAGCCAGATTCAGTTGTTTTTAAGGCAAGTTCTCATTAACATTATTACATTAGTATTATTTGAATATTTTTATTTAATTAAAATATATTTACAGAAAAGGTACCGATGTCATCATAATACCAGACCTAAAAAAAATTCAGTTCCTAGAGCAAAACATTTGTCTTGTGTAGCAACACTTATAATTCAAATAGAACACACTTTTGATGAAATGTAAGTAAATGTATTATTATATGTTATAGCCTGGGCGTTTAAACATAAAATTAGCTTCACTCAAAATACTACCTATACGGCCATACCTAATGTATATTTTTCTTAAATCCTAAAAATTAATCACAGAAACCTGATAACTAAAACACTGTTTGTAGAGTTGTTTTATAGATACAAATATAAAATGTATAACAAAATATTAGGTATTAATGATTTTCAAAAATTATTTAAAATAACATTTAAAATTATTAACGCCTAGTGCCCATTACATATTGTCCATAGGCGCAAATTGACTAAATTTTTTGGGGGGACTCAAGCCCCCTCCACAAAGGTCTTAATATAAGTAAAACAAATGTTGGAGGGAAACGCTCTCCATAAAATCCCCCACCCACTGAGCAACTATCGTTACGGATATATAAAAATACAAAGTATTACATTTTTAGAATATATTTATTTTAACAAAATTCTCCGTTCTTTTTCGGCAAATACATTTAAAATATCTTCTGTATTTATATTAATAGATAAATCCCTTATTCCAATAAATATTAAAATATAACCTAACAAGTAAGTAATAAACATATATCTTAGTCCGTGGACCGTGGTAACAAATAATAATTATTAATGATAACAAAATGCTCCGTTCAAAAATTGGCGCGTCAACCGTCGATTGTGGAGGTCAACAGCAACCACGGCATTATTCTTTGGCTATAGATACTTTAGCCGTGATCGTGACACAGCCCTCATAGTTTATCACTAGGGCTCGGATTTAAATGCCCTAAAAATATCAAAAAAATGCCCTTTCAAAAAATGCATTTATGACCTAAAAACTCTAAAAAATGCCCTAAAAATATCAAAAAATGACGTTTCAAAAAATGCATTATTTATTAAATAAATTCAAATTTAATTATTTTTAAAAAATGAGGAACAAAGTAAGTACCTTCAACGTAATACGCAACACTACTGAAAGCGTCCGACAATCGGCCACGCGCACCAGCGATATATTATCGCTCGATACGAAAATAATCCGACAATATTGGCTAATTGGATGGTGTGACATAAAGGTTGTAAAAACCGGAAAACCTGATGTTAAATTAGTTAAAATAGTTCAAAATGAAAATAATTTTTATTACGTAGTACTATATTACTATGTAGTACTTATATTTCAATGAGGTCAATTTTTTTAGTCATAATACGACAAATAGGTCAAAAATGCCCTAAAATATTAAAAAATGCATTTGAACCGTCAAAAAATGCTCTAAAAATGATGAAATCCTCTAAAAATGCAAAAATAACAAAAAAATTGCCCAAAAAATTATTATGGTTGGATTGCGAAGTACTTGAAACATATTTGTAGCTTGGAAAGCATCGCGTAAGATATCCCAAAAAAAAAATGCAAATGCATTGAAATCCGAGCCCTATTTATCACCTATAAATTACTTATCGGTTATCAATTATCTGTTTGACCACGAGGCACGGACTAAGATATGTTATAGGATTTTTTATAAAGATTTAAAAAAAAACTAGCATAATAATAATTTTTTTCAATAATTGTATTTTGTAATTTGGTTAAGTTTTTAAAATATATACATGTTTAGTACTACAGAATATAATAATTAGTACTAATTACTAGATTTTGAACTGGGGGGACTTGACCAAAATCTGGGGGGACTAAGTCCCCCCAAGCCCCCCCCCCTATTTGCGCCAATGATATTGTCCCACTTTATTTGTTTTTGTATTAGTGCTCCATATGATAAACCCACATCAAAGGCTGTTGTTGTAATGAGACATATTCATAACCATAAGCTGATGTGTGCAGATGTTTTAAAGTACAGAATTCCATCTGATGAAGTTAAAGAGCAAATATTGAAGTTATTTGAAGAAGGGAAATCGCCATCAAAAGCTCTTCTCACATTAAAAAAACAGCTATATATTGACAAAGGTAGCAATTATTATGTTTGTGCAGGAGATCGAGGAGAACTTCCAGATCCTGAGTTTGTTTATTACCAATATTATAAGACATTCAAAAAACACTTTGGATCCTCTCATGGAGATGCTATGATGATATCTTTAAAAGATGCTGTAGATGAATACAACAGAGACTGTAATCATGAATGTTCATCAATGGAAATTCTTGATGATGGAAATTTTATTATAGCAATACTTAGCCCATTGATGAGAAGGATAAGTGAAGGTTTTGATGAGAGTGGAGAAGTATTATTCATTGATTCATCAGGCAATGTGGATCGTTATGGATGTAAAGTATTTTTCATTTATACTAACAGTTGTGCAGGTGGTATGCTTATTGGTAGTTTGATTGTTACTAGTGAAGCTACATCAATCATTGTAAATGGATTGGAACTGTGGAAAAAAATGTTATCTCCGGAGTCTTTAGGTAAAAGAGGTCAAATAGGTCCTAGAATATTTATGACAGATGACTCACTAGCTGAAAGAAACGCATTAAGTGAAGTATTTCTTCAGACAACACTTTTACTTTGTATTTTTCACGTATTACAAGCCGCTTGGAGATATCTTTGGGATTCTAACCATGGAATTCCCTTAAAACACAGACCTTCCCTATTTAGTGGGATAAAAAATATGATATACTCAAAGGATACTGATGTAGGTTTAAAGTATATGTTGAAGGGTTATTCAAAAGAAGACAGGAATGGGCTATTTGTTTAAGAAACAACTTGGTTACAAGAGGTCAAAATACGAACAATATAAGTGAAGCTGGAGTTAAGATAATGAAAGATGTTGTACTTGAAAGAACAAAAGCATATTCTCCAGTGCAATTATTTTTTTTTATTATCAATGATTTAGATAAATTTTATGAGATGAAAATTTTGGACGTTGCTGCTAATCGACCACCTCAGTATCTAAAAAAAAAATATTTTATATCAGCTAAACAAAAAAGTCCTTAGAGTATAAAGCATTAGATTTGGGAAAATCACTTTTTGTTGTAAAAATAAGATAAAAAATACAATGTACAATGTTGATACTGATACTGGTTTGTGTTCATGTCCACAAGGTGACACAGGAAAACCTTGCAAGCATCAAATTTATGTTGCCAAAGATCTCAATATTGATATACCTCTATGTTTACCATCTAATGAACATACTAGAATAAAACTACATACTATTGCTACAGGATGCAGTGATATTAAAAAAGATTGGTATACTCCATTTCTTAACACCGAAAATAATGAAAATACTGAACTATGTCCAAAATAAATCCAAATAATATAATAGTAGAACCCAGTCATTCTTTAAACATAAGTGAAAATCAAAGTTCACCTATTCAAATTTCACCTACTTACAATGAAGTATTGGAAAAGTTTGATTCCACAGTGGATAAAATTAAAAGAGCTTTTTGAATCGGATAGAGATATTTTTACCAGGTATTAACGCTTTTGTAAATTCATTTGATAAAAATGTAAATACTCATGCAGCTTTGTTATCTGCATTGATGACATTTTTAAAATACTCTGGCATAAATCCTAAGAGTATAAAGCCTAAACTTATTGGGAATAAACATATTGGAACTCAACCAACAGCTCGAGGAAGACGTGTTACACAAATTGGAGGTAGACATAATTTAACTTCTGGCCGAGTTCCTAAATGGAAAATAGTCAATGAACATGGATATCACCTAAAATTGACTTCAAGCCAGTTACCAAGAGGTAATATAAAATCTTTTGATCCTTCAGTTGTTCCCAAAAAAGTTTCAAAAATGCCTCATCAGTTGTCTTATTGTGGGGATAAAACTAAACCATTAGGAATCACTCATAATGCAAAGTAATAAAAAGTATAGTATTATTAACTTATTTCAATATATATATATCTTAAAATACATAAAGAATAGTCAATAAACATGTTTTAATGTTTTATACTTATATAATTGCTTATTCAATTTAGAGAATCTGGATGTGAGATTCTATGATTTCAATCATGATTTGCTATTGTGATATTTTATATTTTAATGATAAAGCATATTAACCAATGTAGTATTGTTTTTTGTTAAAGTAAATATTTATATCGATGTTTTTAACTGTTACTAATATAACTGACATTGAATGATAGACTATGTTTATTGTTTAATGTAACCCTGTAGTATTTAACATAATATGTTTATAATGTAACACTATTGTATTGTACGATGGCTTTACTTACTTTAATAAAATTATGTTTCCATGCAATGTCAGTCAGCCTCATGATTGGGCCCCTGACCCAATATTATTATTTAAAAAAATAGGTGGTTAAGTGGGTGTCGCTCTGTTGTACAGTAAGTTACAAGTAAGTCAGTGTTAAATTTAAATTCAATGATATATCTCATTATAAGAAAAACGATTCTGAGCGAAGACGGTCAATTAGCCTTCTATAATATTACTAAGGTATTTTTGATGATATTATTTTGAATAAGTAATTATAAATTATAACCTTTTTACGTTTAACCTTGTTTTAAATTTTCAATCCTCTGCTATAAAAGATGAACATATTATACATTTTTAACTACCAAACAATTTTAAATTAAACATGCGTATAAAAAAAAATTGTGCCTATGTATTTTTAATATTTTTCAACTGCTATAGTAACAATAATCAATATACCAGGAGCCTTGTAAACTTGTATTCACGGTTTCTTACCCAACAAATAAAATGTTGTTGACATTTATAGAAAAAAAACTAAACAAATTGGAAACTGAAAATGTCCGTAAGCAGTTCAAAAGAAATCAGAATATTTTGAAAATTTTATCGTCTATTGAAAATAATAAAATGGTTTAAGTTGAAAATTATAAGTTAAAAGAATATGTTGATACTTTAAAACTAGTTCATAAAATTGTCATTTAGAAATAATATGTAGATATGTTTAGTCAAAGTTTTTTTTTTATATGATATTACATACGACGATTGTTCAAAAAAATTATTTTATTTTCAAGACATTCAATTTATGTTTTTAACAAATTTATTTTTGGGTAGAATGTTTAAACATTATATTAACATCGTCATAACATAAAAATATATTAGTCACAACATTTTATTATAATAGTCTATGTGGTTTTTTTTAACGAATACTGAGGATATCCGTAGATATTGTGTGATGTAATATTATTTTATACTAATATTATTTATATATTCAAAAATACTGGGAGCAAATTAGATCCTAATAATTATAGACCAATATCTCTTATTTCTAAAAAAAAAATCTGAAAAAAAATAATTTCTTGTGAGGTTCCGTAAGGAACATGTTCGGACCTTTGATCTTTATTATGTTACATTAACAGTTTAACCAAATATTAATTATTGGAAATTAGTTCTTTTGCAGACGATACTGCTTGGTAATAGACTCGGACAACCCGACAAGACTTTTATCAAAAAGCTAATATCGGATATTTTTAAAATTATTAATTGGTGATGGAAAATAAATTATCTCTCAATATCTCCAAATAGGCAGTATATAGATTTTTCGGAAAAAATAGAACAAAACAATAATTTAACAATTCATATTACTCTTGTAAAAACACTTGGTAACATTCAAAATATCTGTATTGTCGGAATCTCGAAATTATTAGGATATAAAATATTTAGGTTGTATTTATAATTGATCGCAAATTAAATTGAAAACTTCAAATTGAAAAAATTATATCAAAATTAATAATCCCTACCTTACTTAATGTTGCAATAGATACAAGTTTTAAAAATTCTGTGTACTCTGCCTTAGTCCAATCTCACTTGTAATATTCAATAACTATATGGGGAGATTCATATAATTTAACTCAACTCCAAGCTTTGCAAAATTGTATTAGCACCAAATTTAACATGAACAATGTTGCGTCCATGCAAGAGCTTTTAGATGTCCGTAAGCAGTTCAAAAGAAATCAGAATATTTTGAAAATTTTATCGTCTATTGAAAATAATAAAATGGTTTAAGTTGAAAATTATAAGTTAAAAGAATATGTTGATACTTTAAAACTAGTTCATAAAATTGTCATTTAGAAATAATATGTAGATATGTTTAGTCAAAGTTTTTTTTTTTATATGATATTACATACGACGATTGTTCAAAAAAATTATTTTATTTTCAAGACATTCAATTTATGTTTTTAACAAATTTATTTTTGGGTAGAATGTTTAAACATTATATTAACATCGTCATAACATAAAAATAAACAAACATTTTATTATAATAGTCTATGTGGTTTTTTTTAACGAATACTAAGGATATACGTAGATATTGTGTGATGTAATATTATTTTATACTAATATTATTTATATATTCAAAAATATTGGGAGCAAATTAGATCCTAATAATTATAGACCAAGATCTCTTATTTCTAAAAAAAAAATCTGAAAAAAAAATAATTTATTGTGAGGTTCCGTAAGGAACATGTCTCGGACCTTTGATCTTTATTATTTACATTAACAGTTTAACAAAATATTAAATTTATTGGAAATTTAGTTCTTTTTGCAGACGATACTGCTTTGGTAATAGACTCGGACAACCCGACAGACTTTTATCAAAAAGCTAATATCGATATTTTTAAAATTATTTATTGGTTAATGGAAAATAAATTATCTCTCAATATCTCCAAAAAGGCAGTATATAGATTTTTCGGAAAAAAATAGACAAAAACAATAATTTAACAATTCATAATTACTCTTGTAAAAACACTTGTAACATTTCAAATATCTGTAATTGTCGGAATCTCGAAATTATTAAGGAATATAAATACTTAGGTTGTATTTATAATTGATCGCAAATTAAATTGAAAACTTCAAATTGAAAAAATTATATTCAAAATTAATAAATCCCTACCTTCCTTTAATGTTGCAATAGATACAAGTTTTAAAAAATCTGTGTACTCTGTCTTAGTCCAATCTCACTTGTAATATTCAATAACTATATGGGGAGATTCATATAATTTAACTCAACTCCAAGCTTTGCAAAATTGTATTAGCACCAAATTTAACATAAACAATGTTGCGTCCATGCAAGAGCTTTTAGATCACAGATTAAAAAAAGAATTTTTGAATTAGATTATTTGTTATTACAATATTTTGAAATATTTACATGTTACTAGAATATTTTTCATGTGCCGTTCAATATATTATTGTACTATGGTCTATGAGTACTATGAACATTTATTGACGTACTTTAATTTAAATTTTAAATGTTATCAATATATGTTTACGATTATATTATTTGTATATCACACAGTCACACACACACACACACACACACACACACACACACTCATTGAATATCTAAAGTTACCGTTCCGGAAATATATCCAACAAAATTCTTGTGGCTAACGGTGTCGATTCAGAATAATATTTTAGCAACAACATTATCGTGTTATTCGCTTCCGTTAATGTAATGACATCGTATGTATCATCGTATATTATTTAACATTGGACGTTATGGATGGTGTGTGTGTGTAGTGTGCAAGTGTGTATGTATGAATGTAGGTATGTACCTACATGAATCGAACAATATTTTCAGCAATACATAATGTATAAACATCGGAACACTTATATCAACCAGGGCCGTCCCTAGGACAGCGCCGCTTTTGTAGATACCATAAAAAAGTCAAATTAATGAGAAAAAAATTATTATTTATATATGTTTATATCTTCAATTGCTGTAATTTTTACTACCTATACCTACCTACTTATATTAATTGACATCAGTCGCCAAATAAATGTATTGCATTTTAAACGAGTTAATTTGATTAAAATTCAATTTTCAAAGTTGAAAATGATAAAAATCTTCAAATCGCTCTGTCCACCCAAAAAAACACCAACTTAGCTATAATATTTAGAAAAAAAAATGCTTAGATTCTGAGCGGAGCGATAAAATGTATTGATTTTACAATGATGTGTCTTTTTTTCTGTTTTGTATGGCGCTTTTTGGTTAGTAAAAGTGCTCCGATTTTCTACATCAGCATCTTTACTGATATAAAAGTGAAACTAGTTGGTATTTTAAGGGAAGTCAAAATTAAAATTTTCTAGTAGTTTTAGAAAGAGTTGAAAAAAAAAAATTGGTGACTTTTATACAAAACCAATTTTTGAAAAATCGATTTTATTTTTTTGGTGTATCTCAAAAATTCATAACTGTAGAACCTTGAAATTTTCAACAAATATTTATATTAGAATTTTCCATAAAACATTTTCTCAATATTTTGACTATTGAGCTAGTTATAGGCTTGAGCCCTTGAGAAATTTTTTCATTTTTCTAAATTTTTTTATAAGTATCCTCGATAAAATCTTTTTCATTTAGTAAAAAATCTTAATAATGTAATGATAGGTTCCTTATAATTTTCATTAATGGAAGTTTTAAAAATACATAGGCTCAATTATTTGTTATATGCTTATAAAGTTCCAATTTTGACAAAATTCATAAAAGTTTTTTTCTCATACCTAACTTAAGAAATTTTAATAGAAGGTTTCCCACAAGTTGTTGTCGAAAGAAACTGTATGTTTTTGATTGTATCTCTAATTTTACAAATTTTTAAATTACTCTCGGTTATTTAAAAGTGTTTAAGGTTTTCGATCATATTTGTAACGAATATATAAATTAATTGAATATGTGTAATGATATTGAGTGGCACATGTATATTCAATTGGTCTTGAGTTCTTGAATAATATAATATTATAATGTTATTTTACTAATTGTATAATAAGTTTATGTTTCAGCTACCTACAAACAATTTAAAACAAAACCCGGCATCCAACGAACAGATCTGCGGAATGTACGAGATTACACCTGAAATATTTACAATATTCAATCTATACATAATTT